AAAGTGACATTTTCAAACCTGGAATCTGCTGACCTGTCAGAGTGTCATTTGCTTCTTGATAATTGACAACAAAACTAAAAATTAAGAATAAACTTCCAATGGGATTATGTCTTCCTGGTCAGACTGATGGAAAGGTTGTTGATAGCCCTGGCAGGTGCTATGGGTCCTTGTGTAATTTACAGGTGGTGGACACATAGGTTCTCAGGTATTCCAAATGAAGCCAAGAAGCTATAAGCAAAGAAATGTGGGCATCTGTGGGTATGGTTTAGAAGGAGAAAGCCATCCTGTCCCCAGTAACTACTGATGGAAAGTAAGATGGGATTTGTGGGATTCTCCTCAATGAGGCAGAGAAGCAGAAATCCTGACTTCTCAGCTCAGTATATTGGGGCATGGCTGACATTGGGGGTCCTGGCTGACAGACAATGGCCATGCTGTAGATGGTTTTTAATGGGTTTGGGGCATCATTACCCCCTGTCGGGATTTCTCATTAAAGAGGAAGCAAAAATACCTCGAGCTCAGAGGGGATCTGCCTTTATGGGGTGTGCCCACATAGCTAGGACAGGTGGGAGCTTGGGGAGAGTTATGGTGTCATCCTGATGGAGCCTTGGCGACTCAATTAAGAACCTTAGGCAGGTGTTCATGGGAAGAGGGTGGTCCTAGTTTCTAGACTCTTCCCCACACTTCCCAAATGGCTAGAAGTTTGCAAGAAGGATTTCAGCAGGGAAGCTGTGGGGTGTATGTTCCAAGACCCAGCTTAAAATGTCAGACTCATGGTGGCCTGGCTGCAGAGCAGGCTGCGGCTCCTTCCCCTGGGCCCTTGCCCCTGACTTCCTGATGCTGGCCCACAGTCCTTCATCATTCACACTCCCTCTTCCTTCTGGAAGCCTCAAGACCCTCCGACCTCAGGGCCAGGCTTGCCTTCCTTATAAGAAAAGCAAATGAATTAATGATATTTAAAAACAGAAAAACTCTTTGTGAGCCCTTATTATGTCAGGCTAAGAGCCATACTGTATAATTTTGTTCAGTTCTCACAACAATCCTACAAAGTGCTGTCATTATCCCCAGTTTACAGTCGAAGAAACTGGAGCTCCCAGAGGTCAGTTTACCTGCTTGAGTTTATGCGGCTAAGAAGGGAGAAGGCAGCACCCCAGAAGAGCTCTGTCTGAACAGCCCCATCTGTGCTGACCTAACTTCTAAGCCCCATTGTGGAAGGGTGAGAATCTGGACATCTCTGAGACCTACAAAAGGAGTCTCCCTATCGTCCCCTGCCATGCTCCCAGCGCTGTCCTGCTTAACTTTGCCTGGCCACAGCTGGCTTAGGTTTCACAGCAGATGTTGCTGGTGCCCTTACCATGTCTGTGCATGCATGCCCCCACTTGCCCTCACCTTAGCTTTTTATGGCCACCAGTGCCTACTTTGCTGGAAGCACTTGGAAATTAAGACCTTCCAGGGAGCAGCTGTCAGTCACGACGGGTGAGACTTCATGAATGAATACCTCAGCTCCTGCACGCCCAGGGTGGGATGAGTCTGACGTGTACCTTCCACACTTTCTTGCAGTTGAATTAAGCTCTAGATGCCCACAGTGGTAGCTTGGATGACAACAAATCCTTTATCAGCTGCTTTCCCTTCTCCATCTCTATCTCTAATCCCTTCTCCATCCCGTATCTCCAATCTGTCACCTGTTTCCTGGAATCACCTAAAAAAATAAACTACTTCCATTTGAATTCTTGTCTTGGGGTCTGCTTTTGGGGAGACATGGACACTCATTGGGGTCTGGTGCATCTTTGTGGGTGTGTGGGTTAGGGTGGTGGTCTGAAGACCCCACCAACGCAGAACATGTGTCTTCCTTTAAATTGTCCATAATCTCTCTCATGGTTTCCATCACTTCTGCTTGTTGTTTCATCACTTATTTATTAGTTACTTATTTATTACTTTTACACCTGAGATGGTGAGAATTCTGTTACTAGACTGATAGAAACAGAACCCGCATCTTCTTTCTCTAGACTCTTTTACTTTTGGCTGTTGGCCCAGATGTCACCCAATTTCCAGGCTCCCAAGAATTTACAGACGTTTTTCTAGGTGTGAGTAAAAGGAATCCTCTTTGTTCTGGCCTGTCTCCAGCTTTGACCATCAGATCTAGTTGTGCTGCCTGGAAGTTGAGGAGTGGTCCCTGGGGCATCTAGCCCCAATGGCTTGGTAAACTCGTGCCCTTTCTGTTGATATCATGCCATTTGTAACAACATGGCCACTTTACTTGTCTGGAATGGAAACATTTGGCAACATTTGTTGCAACATCCATCCATTCAACAGTCAAGTGCCCCCGCTAAGGGCTTGGCACCATGGAAAGCAATAGTGATTCGAGAGCGAATGAGGTTAGCACAAAGGATTTTTAGGACAGCGAGACTATTCTGTATGGCACTGTAATGGTAGATACATGCCATTGTACACGTATTCAAACCCATTGAATATACAACACCGAGAGTAACCCTAATGCAAGCCATGAACTTTAGTTAATAACAATGTATCACTATTGGCTCACCAGTTATAACAAATGCGCCACACTAAAGCAACATGTTAGCAACATAGGAAACCGGGTGGGAGCAGTTGAGGGGGTGTATGGGAACTTTACACATCCTGCTCATTTTTCCATAAACTGAAAACTGCTCTAAACAATACAGTCTATTAATTAGACCACCACAACAAAAATGAACAAGCCCATAGCCTGAGCCCTTATAGAATTCACTGTCAAGAGAAAGAGGAGAGAGATAAGCAGCTGATTTCAAAGGTGTGATGCTCACTGGACAGAGGCTGGCCAAATTAAACCTGAGAAAAAGTAGCATTTACAACACACACGAGAGAGCCTATGACTAGTTGGTGGCCCTATGCTCCTTTATTGTCCCTAATTTCCCTGCCTAGTTTCAAATGTTACAAAAGATGGAGTTGACACTATGACCTTGGGCACTGGAGTTGGGTGGAGATAGGAACCCTGAATTATGCTTTCTTCCCAGAGATGTCAGAATGTTTCATGGTTAAGAGCAGAGCCTCTAAGTTGGCTGCCCTGCGTTTGAGTCCCAGCACCGCCACTGTGTAATAGCCAGAGGATGGGTTCAGGGACCCACTGGACCCACTGTGAGACAGACCTGAGTTTATACTCCATCAGTGACCTGACCTCCATAAGCCCCTATTCTGACTGGTGGGCCCCAGTGAGGTTTGTGTTGGATCCCCTGTAGTGTCATTCCACAGCCCATGTCCAGCGACTCTGGAAAGGTCAGATTATTCCCCTTTCCCCAGTGCACAGTTATCTTAGTAATAGGGCATAGATCCCTTTGAGGTAGGCTGGGAGAAAGATTAATGGTACACATTTTTTGGCACTGGAACAGAATCCTTCTTTGAGGGGATTTGGCCTCTTCTTCAGTCAATGGGTTGTGGGTCTGTAAACCGGATCAAGTCTGGGAACTGACTGAGGGGCTGTGACTTTTTATGATACAGGTTAGACTTCTGCTCACTTGACCTGGAACTCTTCCGCTTATACAGATCAAGTAAGAATTCAGTAGGCTTCGTGTCTATTTCATCTCCAGGAAGACCGTGATTAAGTGGCCATCACTATAGGTGTGTGGGAGTCAGACTATTCTGATTGCTGCATTGACTCTGCTGTCCATTACAGTAATCACGCCACTGTCACTTGGCCCCAGCCACCACAGTGTACATTGGGCATGTCACGTATCCTCTTTATGCCTCAGTTTTCTCCTCTGTACAATGGGGATAACAGTAGTACCCCTATCTCCTACAGGGCTGTTGTGAGGTTTAGATGAATTAACATGTGGAAAGTAATAGAAGAAACTTGTGAAGCCCACAGGTAATTATTAAAATTATTTGTGCTGGGGAGAGGCAAGAGACGGAAGAGAGGAAGGTGCTGGAGCAGATCCATGTCCTCACCCAACAAATGTTTCTTGAGCACCTACTATGCACCACTTCCTGGAACAGCTGTTATGGAAAAAACTGAGTCAAGCAGGGGCAGTGACCGCCTTTAGGATCGTGGTGGAGGAAACAATTATGCAACAGGTTCCCAGCTCTTCATGGGGGTAGCCCAGGAGTACAGAAGCACAGGATCTTGTGGCAGAATCATAGAAGGGATGCAGCCTCCCTGGCTCTCTTGCCCCTGGGGTGGGCCAGGAGCCTGCTGATGCTCACTCAGCCTGCCCTGGGATCTGGGAATGACACTTCAATGTCCAGAAGATTCCTCCTGGTTCAGCTCACCACACAGACCAGGAAGAAGCCCCGTACTGATGCCAGGGTGAATGCTGGGCTGACTCAGAGCTAACAATGAATCAGTCCAAAATATTTCTCAAAGACTCCTACCTTTGCCCATCTGCTGTGACCATGCTGGGGGCCTGCTGGGGTCCTCTATCTTGTCTCACCCTGCTGGTCTGTCTGCCCACCATGACTCTCTCCCCTCGTTTACTATGCTCCAGCCCCACAGCCCTTCTTGGTGGCTCTTCCCCAGCCTATGGGCCTTTGCACGAGCTGTTCCCTCTGCCTGAACGCCCTTCACCTGGCTGAGAACAACTCTTTGGTGCATCTCCTCTCAGTTGTCACTTCTAGCATGATGTTCCTGCTAGTGTCCCTCTCCCAGCCCCGTGACCTGCTGAGGCTCCTGTTTCTTTAGGCTGCCATGCACCCAAGACTTCTCCTTTGAAGCCCTTTGCCCTGTTGATGAGGTTCATCCTCAGTTCCTTTCTGCAGGCACCAAGCTCCACGGGGGAGAGAAAATGCCTGTCATGTCCACCGTTATATCTCCCTCCCCTATCACCATGCTCGGTCCATAGTGACACTCGGTAAATATCTGTTGATAGCTGATGCAAAGACGGTGCCCTTGCGTGAAGAAAGTCATCCTCCAGGCTGAATTTCCGCTGTGTTTTGAACAGCCTCAGTTTTCGGCCACCTCCAAATCACTCAAGATGCAGAATAGACCCAAAGACCAAGGTGCATGCACGTTGCTGATGTCCCTCCTCCCCGGGCGCCCCTTCTCTCCTCCCTTCCTTGGGCACGGAGGCCATCGAGGTGCGACCTGGCCGGGGGGGCAGGGCTTTGCCAGAGCGGGTCTGGCCCTGGGCTTGTTGGGGGAGAGCACCCGCTTCGTCCATCCGGCAGGTGAGTCCCGCGCAGGCCTCGTCCCGGGGTGGCCGCGGTGCGCGCGAGCAGCCAGCAGAGGGCGGCAGAGAGACAGGAGTGGTCCACGGAGCATCCCCAGCTCGCTAAGCCCAGCCGCGAGCCGAGCCGCGCGGACCCACCGAGCCCGCGCTCACCAGCCCCGGCTCCCGCGGAGAGGCCGCTGGCATCGGGAGTGCAGGCAGAGCCCCGCTGGAACCATGGCCAGCCCATCAGGCAGCCCCGAAGACACGGGCAAGCTCAGAGGCAGGGATGGCCGGCCGAGGAGGGAGGAAGACGATGCCCCTCCAGAGGAGAAGAGGTTGAGGCTGGGGCTGGAAGCAGGAATTGCAGAGACTGAGGAAGCAGAAGACGCGCCACGTCTGGGCACGGAGGACACCGGCACCCAGACAGGTGGCGAAGGCAGAGGTGTAAGTGTGGGGGCGGGCGGGGATGCTTGGCGGCCGCTGTCAGGTTGAAGTTGACAATTGGGCAGCAACTCCTGCGGGCGCGGTGTGACAGCTTGTGGGGACCTCCTGAGAAACTAGATGCTCCGGTGTTGGTGGCAAACGCCTTCTTGTTTATGTGGCATTGACTTACTGATTCTCCCACGACGTCGCTGGCCGGGGGACCCGCTGGACTCTGCGGTTGGCCAAAAAGGGGAGGGGGAACGCTGGGTCCTGGGGGACCCCAGAAGGGGAGGAGATTGGGGTGTCTCTGAGCAGCACTCACCAAGCACCCCCATCCTGGGCAGAGCTGTGTGGGGTGCCTCTCTGGGACTTTGCTGGCTGTGTGTGCCTCTCATCTGGGAAGGGGCTTGGGGGTGTGGGAAGCCCTGGGCACCAGGCTCGGCCAAACCCTGCTGTGCTCAGCGTATGGGCTGGCAGCGGCTCTCCAAGCCCCTCACCTGCCCTGCAGCTTCTGCTGTCGCTTCCCCGGGAGTGAGAGTTGAAAGGAGGCAGATGGCTTCCACCCCAGAAATCACTCCCCTCTCCCCATCCCTACAAAGAAGGGACAGCCAGGCAAAGTTCTCATCCCTCGGGCACTGCCCAGCTCTGGTCCCTGTCAGCCGAGGGTGCGTGCGAGCGTGTGTCTGTGGGGACGCGGGTCACTAGGTGTGTGTGGGCAGGGAGCTCCGTCGTCAGCTTGACCTCCTGGGATCCGCTTTCTGCTTCCCACCTGGGCTCTTCCAGTTGTGAATTCGCTGGCCTTCCATTTGGCGAGCACATGTATTTGGAAGACAAATGAGGGCTGGCTGGACGGCTGTCCCCCTTAGCAAGAGCTGCCACCTTGATAGTTTTTAATGGACAATGGGGTTGACCTTTTCCTTCCTTCCAAATGTTTTGATTCTAGACCATTTGCTCAGCTGAGCTTGTCTTAAAAACTTGACTAGTTGCTGATAAGCCCCACGCGAGAGAGTTCCTCTCCCTTTTGAGTCCATGTAGGCAGCGGCCGGCAGCCCTCCCTTCACCAGTCTGTGTCAAAGCCCAACTGGCCGGCTGTGGGTTGCTCCCAGATGCTGTCTTGGATCCCTTCTCACAGTGACACCCTCATCTCCCCACGGGTGTCACTGCATTCAGAGCTTGGGGCACCTGGACACTGAAACCAGGCGAATTCTCCTTGAAATCCCAGGAGAAGGACCATACTTAGGGAAGGTTTTTTTGGGACACATCATGGAAAGGATGGCAAGGAGTAGTGTCACAGAGTGGCGAGAGGAGAGGTCCTGGTCTGAAATGCAGTGATGGTAGCAGTGAAATGCCATGAAACTTTTATTGTTGGAAGCCCCTCCTTTCTTGCTTTGCCTCCCTCTTTTACATGGCCCTTGGTCACAGACCAGGGTACCAGAATGGAGTGACCCTGTGCAGTGGACTGGTTAGGGATGTGCGTCTGGAACCAGGCTGCTGAGGTCTACATCTCAGCTCTGCCCCTCCTCAGCTGAGTGACCTGGGGCAAGTCACTGAACCTCTCTGAGCCTGGCGTTCTCACGGACAACATGAATATGTCGACAGGCCCTACTTCATGGGGTTACTATTCCTGAAATTAAGCAAGGTGTGTCCATAGGAAGCACTTAGCATTGCTCCTGGCACGTGGTCAGTGCTCAGTAAATGTGATTTAGGACTGACGTTTGCTCCACGGAGCTTGCTTGGTATATTTCACTCTGCGGTGCATTACAAGAGACAAGGGTCTTTGGCCAGAATTTCCATGTTAAGTGCTTTCTGAAGATTAAAAGAATTACATGTAGACAAAATTGTTAAAAGGTAGAAACCCCACTAGACTTTTTTGCCCACAAAGGGAGATGGGAATCCCCCCTTGAAAGATTAGTGACTGGGCAGAAACTACGGGCCTCTCTTTTTGGGATGCCTGGACCTTCCTGGTCCGGGTGCCCCTCGAAAAGATGAAATCTTGGTTTTCAAGTTTAAAGGTTGACCATAACCCAGAGTGGCCCATAGCATCCATCAGACAAAATTCTCTTCCTTTTTAGTTTTGATAGGAATATTCTATGTGAAGAACCCAGGAAGCAGTTTCAGGCTGGTGTGAGGAGCAGCCAATATTTCTTTGAGGAGCGAGCCTATTTCTTCTCTCACAGGCCACGTCTGAGTGGATTGAGAACACAGCGCCCTTTCATGCGATTTGTCTGTGTAGACCATTAGCTTGGTGAAAATGTCAAAACTATCCTTGCTCTTTAATAGCAGATTATTTTGAACTTTTCTCTGCAGAAGCTGCATGAGACTTACTGTCCATGCTGTATCCAGACATTTTTAAGGATAAAATATCCTTTCTCATTACTGGGCCTGATGCTCTGGGTAGTTGAGGCTTAAATGTAACTGGTTGGCCCTCAGAGTGGCTCCCAGGCTCTGCTCTTGTCTTTGGGGTCAGGGGGCTGCTTTCTTTGGTGGTTGCTAAAGGATGCTTTTAGGAGGTAAAGTGGAACTGCAGGATCACCTGCTGGAGATGCGGCTGAAGGAGGGCCTGTGGTTATGAGTGCCTCCAGGAGGGACCAGGTTTCACAGGCTGCTTGTGCAACCTTCAGCACCAGCACTGTTGAGAAGGTATAGAAAAACTGGTCCTCCCAGAGCCTTTACTGATCCCTTTCAAGGGATCCTAGGGTGAGTCCAATCCTCCCTTCCTGGGAGGTAGAAAAAAATCTCTTCTGAGTAACTGGCTATCAGCCTCAATCATTTGCTCAGCTTTTCCCAAGACCAGGCAGCTCAGCAGAGATTTCCAGGTTGTGGAGAGAACTGAGCATTCAATGGTAATAATGCAACAGAATCCCTGAAATCCCCTGATGGGCTCTTTAGGCCGGAGCACCTGGGGCTGGGACTAGAGTGGGAAGGTTGTTGCCAGCATGGGGTTCCCTTAGAGGTTAATCCAATTGCAGGTCTTTTCCCTTCTTGCTGGTGATGGTCTACACCTGGGTTTCTCAACCTTGGCACTGTTTTTTTTCTTCTTTTTTTTCCCTTTTTTTTGTCTTTTTTTTTCATATCTGGCAACGGATCGCAACCCTCAGTGTCGCGCCCATACCGGACCGGGACTGGCAACGGGATCGCAACCCTCGGTGTTGCTCCCGCATCTCGCTCAGCCAGTGAGCGGCTGGTCTGTATGTGGGATCCGAACCCTCGGCGGGAGCACTGCCGCGCTTCCCAAGCAGCACACTGTAGCAGTGCGCCACCGGGCCGGCCCTAAATAAATTTCTTTTCTTTTTTTTTTTTTTTTTTGTC